AGGGCAAGTGGATGATATTAGAAGGTATCTCACAGGAAGGGCATTGTGTTGCAATGATCTACATTAATATCACAATGTCCTACCTTTCTTAAACCTTAACCAAAGACTAAGAAAGAGAAACATTAAATTGTTTTTTCATAGTGTAAGAGAGAAAAAATTGTACCCATAGGTATCTCAACTTTTCCGAACATATATTGTGACATGACAGGAACCCTTTTTAGCCTACTTTTGGCCCATGATTCGTAGGCAAATCGATTTTGATTTTTATGTAACACTCTACCTGTAAACATTGTTGCCCTACCTCAAAATTCGAGTCTAAAGCCTTGAATTCGTACATTATTCGTATAAGAAACATCTAGTTACGTTTATAAGTACTAGATCAGGTCGCAATATGTGGTCGAATGTCATCCCCTTCTCCATTAAAAGCGCAGTCAGCGAATTGCTGGCAATTATCTGTCAGGAAATTGGCGGTTACAGCGCTACCTCTCATCAACGACGAAGACAATTGATTGGGACATTGTTCTAGCTCTTTGTTCTTTGGAGTTAACTCGTTAAAGGGAAAACAAAAGAAAGGTAAATTTAATTATACTACCTTACTAATATTATTACCATTGCTGCCGGCGACTTCGATAAAGCAATATTGAGATAAAAAGTAGCCTATAATATGCCCGTCTATATCAGCTACCCTTTAGTGAAAGTCCGGTCGAAATAGGTGCAGCCGTTTCGGAGATTACCCGGAACAAACCCGTCTTGCGGACAAACAGACATAATTTTTTTTTAAATGACATTTTCGTTATCAGCAACGCACATACATCATTTTCCCGAAATCTGGATTTTTTCTTTTGATATTACAAACAGACACTCCAATTTAATTATATGTATAGATGCGAAAGTTTAGATGGTTTGTTACGAGTTTGTCGTCTTAACGACTGAACAGATCTCGATGAAAGGCATAGACGTAGAATATATCTGGAAAAACATATAGGCCATTTACAGCTTTTAATTCCGCGCGGACGAAGTCACGTCTCACAGCTTGTTAAATATTTAGTACCTATTGACAGGAAAGTAATATCTTTCGTATATTAGAATGTACGTAATATTATAGAGTTTTTTTAATTGAGAATATTGTTCGGAAAATACGTTGCAAATTCATGTTAGAAAATCTACTTGGTGGAAAATATTTGTATAAAAAGTATCCTATAAAATATCTAACAGAAGGTACAACCATTAGGAATAGTAACACTAGCGTAGTAAACTAGAGAAAATCGACCCAAATACATCCAGAAGAACGAAAATTGTGTCTCGTCGCAAAATTATGCAATAAATGCACTTTAGAATAACGTAATATCTCACAGACTATAAACAATTGAAAAGCAGAACAAAGAACCATTCTGTATGAGAATATGAAATCTTTGAAAGAATTTTCTCACGCTTTACAAAGCGTAATAGAAAACGTGTATTTTGGTTGTCTAAGAATTACGTCAGTTTGTGATCTAAATGTTGAAATTCTACTTAGGTTTTAAGGTTAACCATAAAAAAACAATTTATTTTTTATTGTATCTATAAAATAAAATACCAGAATACTGTATACTAATAAAACTCACTGATTTAAAAGAAAATAAAATGAAATATTAAAAATGTAACCTAAAAATTTTCTTTAAAACAGCATTTGTAGAATTATTAAATTCGTTAAATTATAAACAAAATTAATAACAAATCTTTTAATACGATATTTTAACTAAATTGCAAAGGAAATAAAGACAATTTTATATAAAAAAGGATATTTTAAAATTTTTAACACTAATAAAAACAAATTATACTTACAAAGATAATAAACAGTATCGATTTCTGTCAAACAACCAAGATGTTAGCGAAATCTACGCGATAACACGAGAATTATAAAAATGTATTAAAATTACTATTTTAACATAAACGACTAAATGTACTATTTCCTCTTCATACAATAAAATAAAATAAATAACTGTTTTTACACTTATTGTTAAGAAAACGTTTTAATTTTAATGAATAGAACCGCGTTTTACATACGTACTCCCGTATCAACGGCCGCGCGGATACTGCCGAAAAGGCGGGAAATGTGACATGCGCTTTGGGAAATCGATTCGGAAATGGCCCCCGGATAAAACGCGCCCGATTCAAAACTACACATCGCAAGAATTACATTTTTACGTAGATTGGTGATGGTTGAAGTAAATTGAGTTTAGTTTTTAAGAGACACATTTATTTTTAAAACAGCCGAAAACCAAACTGTTTCACTTTGCTATAGTTTGTCTAAATAAAATAGATTAGTTTGATAAAAGACGTATATGAAGTATCGAATTCAATTTTTATGAAGACAAATGCCATACTTAATAGACACGTATCGTAGTGACGAAACAAATGCGCATAGCGAACAATTTGGAACTATCGATATTCTGTTTAAATAATTAGCGAACTCGACTAAAATTATTATTTTCTTATTAACTAATTTAGAGGACAATTCTAGTATTGATTATAGTGTAGAGAATTTAGCGATGACAGAAATAATAGCGAAACCAATTCGATTACGTACGGCTGTAGTATAAATAGACATTTATTTACTCTTATTATTTGTTATGGTCATTAATAATTTGAGAAAATTCTTTTTATTTCATAAGTTATAACTATAAATCTATCGATTCCAACTTCTATAAGAATAAAAATCGGAAATCGATAAGATTCGTGACTGATTTTACACAACCCATCCCTACTAAATTTGAAATGAATTCTTAAACTAATCTAAATTATTTAGACACACTATTAATACCATATTTTTCCAAATCAACAACTGAAGGTGGAATATTTGACATCGTTTTTATGGTCGTGGTATTTACCAAGCGGAATATTCAAACTGCTGCGTCATCTATTTTCATTTTACTCTATTAATATTGGGTAAAAAAAACAAAACTTAATCCATATATTTTTATTGTTATATGCATATGGTAGCTCACAGCGACTACATTCCTAATGGAAGATTTAACGTACATTTTAGACTGCGTTGCATTTGCAAAATAAAAGTGTATTTATTGTTTATAAAATAGCTAATAAAAATTAAGTTAAGATTCCAATAAGGAAGAAACATGTATAAAACATCTTGTCAGGCACAAGGATGCCAATATACAAGTTTCAGTACTAGAAACCTCAAATTGCTAATCTCATTCGATTTGATCATCAAAATGTACTCTATTAATAATAATCTCCAGTTATTAATAAACTAAGGGCCAATCCCATCAAATTCTAAATTGTCTGATAACAATCCAACGTGTAAAATTTGTCATGAAAATATCGGATTTTGTTACACACGACAGTAACGTCATGTTTAATCTGAGCTTCTATCAGCCAGTGGTGGGACAAGCCCTAAGAAAATTTTTATATTTGTATAGATCAAACCCGCTATATATAAATTTTAATTGGTGATCAACAACCATAATAAACATAAATGTTGCCAGAATAAGAACCTTTTCATTTTATTTTATTTTTTTACCAAAATGTTATACAATATTGAATCTTATGCGGTGACAATAAAACAGCAAATGCAACACAGTCTTTCATAAATACACAATAATTACAAACTACGATTCGATTACAAATAAACTAACAATGAATAATCAAATAGCCCAAAGAGAATCGTATTGGTGGTAAACATTGGCACTTCATAAAGAAATCGGTGGGCGATACACTCTGGGCCAAAAATATTGGTACATTAATTCACAATTTGATATTTTATAGTTTTTTTAATATTAATCTCAATGTTATCTCCCAGCCAGATTACATTAACTACTCTATTATCGGTTCAAATGACCATCAAAATAACACTTAAATATCTATATTACAATTACAACACCAACATCTGACTCTAATTCTATGTGTTACATGTACAAATAAATAGTGTCCTCTATGTTCATTTCATTTTCTAGAACTATATCTTCATTTAACTAACAAATAAAATTGTTCATGTATAATTCTATGTTAAAATTATATTTATTTTCAACAACAGCACAGTGTAACGTCATCTAAACATGCCTTCACAATTGTCAATCAAAACCTTGAGTCAAAAACAGAGTATAAACAAAAACTCTATGACATCACATGTACGTAGGACACTGATTTCTATAAATAGACAGGCTACCAGAAGTATTTTGTGGCTATTTGATCTTCACCATGTAGGTTCTGTCAAACAGAAAAGCAACGGTAACAACTAGCAATAAAAGGCGCTTTTAAGTCGGAAAAATGCTAGTCCTGTAATTTCCATGGAATAACTTATCTATTTATACAGATCAGTGGCGTGGATTATCGTTGTAATAAAAATAAGTCTTGTGCACTAGTGTGGTTATTTTTAAACAAGAAATTAAAAGATATTCTTTATATTTTTGTTTATACTCTGATTCGCTATGAGAACTGTTTCAAAGATTATGTACTTTACTGTCCAGTAGATAAGAGTAAAAATCGAATAACAATTCACTATTCAAAAAGTACACAACAGTAAACGAAATTACCCTGTTTAGAAGACATTGTATATTTTAAAAATTGTGTCCTCAGCCTTTTTCAATGATATCATTTGTTTCCATTATTCAAACGTTTTGACGGATGAAGGTTAACCGTGGAAATACAGACCGACGAAGTTATTTGACCCGAGGGACATAAATCACACTGGATTACAATAGCTAGCGCCCTCTTTTCAATTTCAAATTAGTGTTACAATATTCTTGCACCTTGTACATTTTCGTTTTATGTCTATGCCTAAGTAACTTTTTTATATTTCCTTTATCCTCGATATCTCACTGGGCCAAATATCCTTGTCGGAATATAGTCGTGTACCAAATAGTCATGTTTCTTGTCATTTAAGGTTACCTCAACCTGTAAATACGTCACTAATTCGCTAAGGGTTCTATGCGATACAGGGTTTTTAACGAAAATTACAAGGAAAATTAAAAAAAAACCTACCACGGGAGTTGACAAATGCAGTTGATGACGTAATTACTTATCGACTAGGAATGGTAATGTACATATATTTATTAAATACACTATTAGACAGTCGTGAAAAAACCAACGAAATAAATTACAATCAAAATTATACCTTAAATTAATAGTAAATAAAGCTTGTTTTTCATATATTAATTCGAGTAAATACAAATAATTCCGAGCGGGAATTAAACATCTATATTGTAATTCAAAATAAATGTTAAAAATACATTCTCAAAGTTTCTAGAGGCAACAATAATTATAAATACTAATACGCTTATATATTATTATATAAGTTAATAATCTTATTTACTAAATGTCGAAATCGTTTACTTACATAATTTTATTTTATTCGAGTGTATACCTTTTTTCTGGCTTCGAGTGTAACCAGATATTCAGTAAAGCAGGAGCATATACTTGTCAAAAACGTTCGTACAATACAAAAAACTGTTTAAAATAACTTATTGGTTATAGTGAACAAAACTATATCTGTTTAATAATTTCTAACTAAAATTGTCATGAGAAAAACTATAAAAAAGTAAAAAAAAATATTAGTATGAATAATAAATATGAAGTCAAAATTAAAAAAGGTTGTATCAAAATTTAAAACAATAAAAATTATGTAAACATTGTTTGTAAATAAAAAAGTAGTAAAATGTTGAATTAATGAATTCTAGTAAAATCCAAAAGTATTAAGAAAGAAAACGCACCTTTTTTAAACATCGAAAAATCCATCCAATCCATTTTGGATCCAATTCAATCCATTCTGGACCCAATCCAATCTTCAATGGATTTTAATATCCATAAGATAAAAGCATATGCTCACACTTTACGTTTCGTTAATACACGAACATTATCCATAGACTTACGAATACTCTAAGACACGGCACAGCCTGTCACTGAACTAATTTGGAACATTCTAGATTATTTAAGCTTCAATTCTATTTCGGTATTTCTTAGTGCAGCCAGTTTCAACGCCTACGTCTAAACGATGCAATCCAAAATCTAAGTGCCTTATAATAACTTTTGGCATATTTAACGCGATTTCATACAAAAAAAGTATTAATTTAGTAGGATTATTTGACGTTTGGTAAAAATGCCATATCAAATTTTCATAATTACCAAACAAATGTAAACTACCGATTTTCTTTATGATCGATACGTCAAAAAAAATAGTAAAACGCCTTGAATTGCGTATTTATACGTCAAGTTTCAACGAACTCAATATATGATTTTTTTTAAATATTGAAATGCCACGACAGACATTTTACGTGCGTCTTAAACAAATTTTATTCTTTGGCTTTTGCCAGTCATTTTAAAATTTCTTATTCCTTCATTTATTTCCATAAGGGCGGGTCTATGCTATGGTTTATGTTCATAATTTTAAGTGAAACACCGCGAACGTCTAAAAAAAGCAATTCAAATTAATTCTATACTTTTTGTTAGTTCGTTAATCTCATACAAAAAATCTTATTTGTATGAAACGAACTCGACTTATTTTTGACAATATTCAAGTTTTTAAACAAAATCATAAATTAAAATAATAAATACAGTGAACTTTGTAATTCAATTATTTTTCATGAGATCTAAATAAAAGTTATTCAAAAAATTTGAAGTAAAACTTATCAGCACTCTAGTAATATATTTTTATAGTGATGTACACAAATATATCGACATTTGGACGATTATTTTAGATATGAACATAAAAAAAACAATCCAAGCAAGGGAGTTAAGAAATGGATCGACCTTTCTTTTATCCAGATATTTCGATTACCATTTATTAAACTTGAAGCAAATCGATTTAACTTAAATATATTTTTAATGTATAAATGGCTCGAGATCAAATATAATTGGTGTTCATAAATTTTCTGTAGTGTTTAAAAGAATTAGTTTCTTATATTACAGCAATTGTAGAAACTTTTTAAATTCCCAGTCAGTTTTCCTTCGTATATGCACAAATATTAGTTTATATAACTAAAAATAAGATATTCGAAAATATATCGGTGGTAAATACATAAAATATGGAGCCTCGGTGACCTTGAGGTCTATAAACATAATTTCAACATAAACTAGTATATAAAAAAAACTTATAATTAATATCGACAAGAAATTGTCGCTTGTCAATATTTTACTTACTAATATATCGAAATGTCACTAAACGAGTGAATTTGGCTAGTTTATAATCTGACTAGGCATAGTATAAATGTTTAAAAAAAACCGTCTATTTTAAGAACGCGAAGAGGTGAAATTTATATAGGAGAGGAAATAATTTATTTCTGTGCGTCCCCTCCTCTGTCAAAGTTTATAACGCTTAGTCAGATTACGAAATGCCGATATTCACAATCTATCTGCGACATAAATCTATAGAACGAGAGGTATCGTTACTGGAATATACAACCTTTGATTGCGGACTTTATTATAAACATTTTTCATATTAACATTTACCATAATTTACTATTGAAGAGAAACTACAAAGAAAATAGTGACGTAACGCGGAATTTTACGCCCAACCCTTTATATAAAACCTCAATTAAAAATATGTTACAGGAAAGATTAAACATACATT